TTTTCTTTCTTTCTTTCTTTCTTTCTTTTTTTTTTTTTTTTTTTTTTTTGGTGTGTGTTGGGGGGGTGGGTGGTACGAGGGATTGAACTCAGAACCTTGAGCGTATCAGGCAGGCACTTATTCTACTGAGCTATCTCCCTGGTGATTTAAACAATTTTTGTTAGAATAAGTCTTGCTGGTTGTCTTTAGTCACTTATGGTACATCAGATACAGTCTGGAAATTCTTATTTAACTATTAGACTGATAAACTTCACTAAAGAAAGCATCCTTTTTGGTTGCTTCCATCAATAGAGCTTTTATTAACACTACTAAGTGACGACTGAAAGAACATGTTGAAGTATTACTCTCTGATACTGGTGTACAACTTCTCACCAGAAAACTATCACAACTTTATATTGTAATCTAAAATAAATTCTAGCAGCCATTAAAATTGCAAAGAAAGTCTTAGGTCATGTTGTTTCTTAATTACAGTTTTAAAAAGTTAAGATGGCATCAAATTATATTGAGTATTTGCAAAATTCCAAGCATTTAAGAAAATATAAATAGCTAACACGCTAAATTAGGATTGAAGACTGAATATTTTTCATATTGCCTTATTCTCCAAATATTCTCTAGGCTTTTGCAAAATGCTAAAGTGAAGCTTCCTCAAAAAATGTAGATCGTTAATAGACACCCAAGTGACATCAACAATGTAAACACATCATCTTGTAGTTCTCATTAAAATTATTACATTACTGAAGCTTGACCAAAGTTGTTTCTCATTGTATAACATCATGCTCTGCCCTTAATTATTTTCTTTACTTCTCTTACCTGCACTCAAGGAAGTAAAAAAAAAAAGGAAAAAAAAAAAGATTGTTTGATATGCCAACCCAAATTATACTCAGATAAGAGTTAAATAATTCAAAGACGTGTTTAGGAGAGTTGACTTGTGAACACTAGACATTGTTTCCTTTACTTATCTGCTCTGTTACTGAGATCAGGTGACCTTTGGCAGTGCCTGTCTGGAGTGAGTTTCAAATTGGTTAAGAAAAGAATTTTTAAATAAAGAATAGTGGCAAAAATAGTACTAAAAAATTAACGAAGTAAGAAAGTTCAAACACATATTCTTTTAAGTCTCCTACTTGCGCAAGAGTTCCAAGCCTCTTTGTAAATATTTATACATGTGGGTGGAGGCCAGCTGTCTGTTAAATGGTAAGAGGTGTTAGCAGATTCATCAGGACTTGATTATAAATTTGACTGCATAGATTTGGCTCCTAGAAAAGATAAGGAGGAAATATCTGATGAAAGTGTGGATTGCTACTGACGCGACTGTTGTCATATCAATTGCTACGAAATGCACAAGGAGATAATTGCATCTAATCTTTTTAGTAGTTTTGACCGTCTATGCACTGTCAATAGGAAAAGTTATCCACAGTATTAAAAGGAAACCCTTCCCTTGCAAGCATCTCCTTACTAGCATTTTGTTTTTCTTTTTCTAAAATGTTGCTTTAGATGTCTAATTTGAATGGTTCTCTCTTAATAGTCAGATGCAGCTTTGACCTTAGACTGCAACTGCTTGGAATACTTGTTTATTGCATCAGCGGAGCAGACATCAAAAAATGTATCAATTTTTTCCCCTTTAGTTCTTAAAAAAGTGCACTAAAGCCAAAGCTGTGACATTAGAGCTTGGAATGCAGTAAGATCTAGAACGTGCTGCCCTCTTCAGGAGCCGGTGCTTAAAAAAATTTTATTATTATTATTATTTCCTAGCAGTTTAGAAACTATAAATATGAGTATAATATTTTTAAGAATAGGTATCATATACAATAAAATTCTCTATGGTTCATACTTTTTCTTTAAATGTTTGCATTAGAAATCAAATCCAAAATTTTGAATTATAAATGTGTATGACTCTGTAACAATAATTTACTTAAAAGAAACTACTTTCATAGGGAGAATTCCTAAATCATTGCAGAATTTCAGCTTATATATTTGCTATTCAAATGTTCATTTATAAAAATCTCTAACAAACTATCGTCTTTGTGAAAAGCTAGTAAGACATTCTTCATAACTTATCCTTCAGCAAAAGATCTTTTAAAAATTTGTGAATATTTTGGACCGGCTGTGCAGTTCAGTGGTAGAGCCCTGGGCCCTAGGCTTAATCATCACCACTGGAAAACCAAGTGATCGTCAGTTTCAGTGGCTTAAAATTATAATTTGCTTTTACTTATAGAAATACTATTGTGCTTAGGAAGTTTTCAAATACAGATAAATATAATTTTATTCAAAATTACTATAGTAGAAAAATGTTACAGGGACTGAAATATTATCTGGAAAACTCAAGTAAATCTATATTATTTATTAAAATTTACTAAAAAAGTAAAATAAAATTTACTTAGCAATTGGTTAAGTTTGATAAAGAGACATGAACTGTGCACTTTCTTAAAATTATGTGTATGATGTTTAAAAAAACACAAAGGAAGTGAATATAACCCATATTTAATAACATTAATTATCAGGATGAGATAAAAACATATTTTCTTTATCCTGACATATTATTTTATACTTATGGACAGAAAATGAACCAATTATTGAAAATGAAAAGTAAATGTTTATGAAGAATTTTAAAGAACATAATTTTTTCAAGTATATCTTTTCCAAGTACAGTTTTGGCCTAGTTCTTATCATGTTATATAATCAATAGAAAATGGCAACAAAATAAATGATTTCTTATCAGGAAAAACGAGCTTGATATTCAAATTTTGTTTCTCAGCTTCTACACCTGATTTTCTTATCAAGATTCAACAGAAAATTCACTTACATTTAAATGGATGCAACCTCTGACAGGACAAAAAAATTTTAATTTAAATTTAAATTTTAAAAAAGATACAAAGGAAAGATCATTTTGTATTTATATATACAAAATAATTAGGATAAATTTACAGCTACTTTCGCTTAACTCAATGAGAAGAAAGAGGTGTACTAACAGTGTTTGGACAGAATATCCTGTCTGCTTCTTGTACTATGGATATCCACTAAGAAGATAACAATGCACAGAGTATTGAATATCAAAACTGTCCTATTAATCAGCTGTGAAACTGTCTCATTCATATTTATTTCTCAATAAAAAGTAAATATATAAAAAAATAAAAATAAATAAATGGATGCAGTGGTCATGAATGTTGACCTACAAAAACTAGACTGTCCCCCCTGAATTCTTTAAGGGAAAAGAATTCAGGGGCTGAGACTGGGCGTGGTGGTGTGCCCCTCTAATCCCAACACTTTGGAGGTTGTAACACGAAGATTACTATGAGTCTGATCTTTGTAGTGAGACCCTGTAGACCATGTAGACTCTGTAATAAGTACATTAAAAAAAAAAAACAAAAAACATTCAGGGGTAGCTGTCTCTTGGCATTCAGTGAAAAATTCAACTGTGTTCAAAAGGCATAGTGAAAAAATATCATTAACCATTGTCTCTTAATCCTGTAATATTTGTTTTCAGAAAATATAATCTTTTATTCCGTGTCTGAAAGTACTCAGCCTCACCACTGTTTAATCCTAAGGTCTTTCTGTCCAACGACATGTTTGAGAATTCTTACAACACTGATTTGTGCTTTGTTCAATACGCTGACTTCATTTTTGTTTTGCTGTTGATGCATTGCATGTGGCGGGTAGGATCCCCGCGGACGGAGGCGTAATAAATAATAATGTTTTCTTTGCTTTCTAGGGCATTTATGGCACAATGATAAATGTCATCTTTCCCAGTATGGTAAGTAAGGACTCTTTATATATTTGATAGTGTCAAACAAAACCTTAAAAAAGAAAAAGAAAAAAGTGAATTGTTATAATAAAAATGGAGTATCCATTACTAAACATAGTGCATGCTCTGATAATTACAAAGTTGCTTATACTTTCACGCATAAACACTGTATTCAAACTCCATAAGCATTTTGATGTTCTCACCAAATATGCCACAGGCTCCTTGAAGGGAATAGGTTTTGCTTTCTCCATTAGATTGCACTTGACCATAGTGCATTCAATATTTTGTTTTCTGGGGCAATTTATTTCAATATATACACAGATATAGAAATAAATGTGATTTACATTCTATGACCAAAAAGATAAAGTGTATCTGTGATACATGTTGAAAGTGGGTGACTAAGAGTCCTTTGGAATTTTTACTGTTACATACAAAGTGATTATAATTTATTTTTGACTGGGGCCTCACAACATCTGTGAATTTTAAAATGTTTATTTTCTAAAAGCACACACTGTAACTTCTAAGTGAGCTTGCCACCCTGTGAATTCTGTTAAGCACATGATTCTGCTGTCCTTTTGTTTTCATGGCATTAAAGGTAATATTCAGGCTTAGTTTTGATCATAACTTCTTTACAGCCCAAATAACAATAAAACCTAGTGTAAAATATCCAGCAAATTATTACTGTAGCTTATGAAAGCTTTTTTCCCCTTAGTAGTTCTTGATTATTCTCTAGAAAACTAAGGAATTTTTCAGGTTGAAAAATAGCACTTTGAAAAAAAAAATGAAAAATAGCACTTTGAAATAAAATAGTTATCAGATAGTGTTACATTAGTGAACAAACAGGACAAAAATAACTATATTATATGTTATGTATTTCTGTATAGAAGGGAGAAAAAATTGGTACTATATTATGGGTTTAGGAAAAAGACTCACAAAAGAGACTGGGCGTGGTGGTGTGCACCTATAATCCCAGCACTTGGGAGGCTGTAAACAGGAGGATTACTGAGTCAGATCTGTGTAGTGAGACCCTGTAGACCTTGCACTAAATACATTTTTTAAAAAAGACTCACAAAAGACTTGGAATATAATTATCTGAAGATTCTTCATTTCTCAGTTTCATATGATAATACATACTATTTTTCTAACCAGAACAAACCCATTATTTGAATAATAAACTATTAAAAGTATACACGTATATCTACATATACACATACGTAATTAAAAACAGCTTCTTTGTACTAACTGCATCACCCAAATGATATCATGTAATTAAAAATAAATTACCTTCAACGTACTTCCAGGAGGAACTAAAAATATAAATGAAGATAAATTAGTTAAAATAAAAAAGGATGTAGAGTGAAAACAAATCTACACCTCTAAAACGTTCCAGGAATCGAACTCATGACCTTGTGCCTGCCAGGCATGCGCCGTGTGGCTCAGCTGTATCCCTGGCCTGAAATGCTTTGCTCTGGTACAAAAGTACTTACAGAAGGAAAGCTTTTGTGCGCAAAGTAGACCCATAGTTCCACCTTGGCCTTTGCATATAAGAATTGGCATTTTATTAACTTTGACAAGAAGGAAGGATCTACATAGCAAAAAGTTAAAACACGAAGGTGAAGTACTTAAACTCTTGCTTCATGTTAGAAAGCCACCTTTTTGGTGGGAAAGAACACGATTTCTCCCTGAAACCGTTGTCAGTCTGCGGAGCTGCTCTGTGGGAGGGCACTTGCCGTGCGTGTGCAGATTTGATCCCCAGCACCACGCTTCCTTTCAAAGCCACCTTTGCAACTAGAATATGGAACGCTCGTGTTAAGATCTAAGATGAAAAGAAAATGAAGTATAACAGACAGCTAAGCAAATATAAAGACACTTTAGCAGAATAGCTCGTAACTTAAAATAATAATAAAAAATTGTTTATCAAGAATAGGGATGCGGTTCAGGGATGGAGTTCTTATTGGACATGTGCAAGGCCCTGGGGTAAACCTCGAGTGCCGCAAAGGTAGGCAGATAAGTAAACAAATAAATAGCTATATAAATACATAAAACCATTATGTTTAAAACAGACAGGCAAGAGCCAGCCAAATAGCTCAGTGGATTAAAGCGCCTGCAAGAAAGTGCAGGCGCAGGGGCAGGGGTTCGATTCCCAGGCCTACCGTGCCGGCCCAGCCCATGGGGCACGTTGAGATGGCAATTGAGACTGGGCGTGGTGGCATGCTCCTGTAATCACAGCTCTTGGGAGGCTGTAAACAGGCGGATCACTACGAGTCCGATCTAGTATTTAGACCCTGAACACCCTGTAGACCCTTCCCTAAAACACAAAACATAAAAAAAAAAAACAAAAAAAAAACAGACAGGCAAATAAACAACTATATAAATATACAAAATCATAATAAAATAAGTATTAAAACATATTTGATATATGTGTACTGTTTTTAATGTTTTATCAATTATTACACTCTCTTTAAAATAGATGAAACCAAAAAAGACGAGGAAAAAACTGATTGTTTGAAAGCAAGTGCCAATATTCAGTTATTTCTCAATCTTGCATAACTATATCTATTAAACTGAGCAACAAATTTGATGATAAAAATAGATAATATAGCAACCATTGCTAATTAGCTATTCCTGTTTTGAAAATCTGTAACATATGCATTATTGTGTGTTACTATTTCTGTCCTTTTTTTTTTTTCTGTTTTTGCTTCTGTTTTTACTCTTCAAAATAAAAATTAAAAAATATTTGAGGGGCCGGCGAGATGGCTCAGAAGGATAAGCGCTTGACTGGCAAATGCAAGGATCTGAGTTCAATCCCCGGTTCAGAAA